TATAAATGAGACCCCTGGACTCCCTGGCTGGTACACTGATTAAAGGTGGCTCAGAATCCAAACCTCAAACAGAGAAGGAAATCTGTGAATGATCAAAACTGAGGTTGGAATACTAGGATATGACTTTGGTCACATGTCAGCAGCGTCAAGAAGGGCAAAATAATAATAACGATATATTTTTAAAAACATGGTCTTGTGTGTCTCTGGTGTTTTTAGCTGATACTGATTTTTAATTTAATCTCATTGTATGGGAATAAAGTAAGAATTGCATCTTGATATTCTTAATATCAATTTCTGATGACAGCAGATAAATGAGTGTAAATATCCAAAGCTGATTTTAAACTGTGACTGTTGATGGAGTACCTTTGTCATTACCAGTTCAACAAAATTATAACTGTAAATAACTATAAATTAATATATCAGATCACAATTATTATAGCAATGACATCTACACAGCAGCAGAAATAGTAGGTAACGTTCTATATTTAAAGGAGACATATTATGCAAAATCCATTTTATAGCCATTAAATACATTTTGTTGTGTACTTGGAGTCTCTAGGAGTGCAGAAAAGTTTAATTTAGTTATTCCTGGTGCTGCGTAGATATCTTTATATTATGTTTTAGGTCATATTTCTTTAGTTTTCTTTATTTTCCATGACGTTTTCTGAACTATTAAATCACAGTTTTTGAAACAAAACTTCTAATTAAAGTCTGGACTTACCAACTACAATTTCATCTTCATTCTCCTCTGGCTCTGGGTCAGACTCTGGCTCTGGGTCAGACTCTGGCTCTGGGTCAGACTCTGGCTCTGGGTCAGACTCTGGCTCTGGGTCAGACTCTGGTTCTTGGTCAGACTCTGGCTCTGGGTCAGACTCTGGCTCTGGGTCAGACTCTGGCTCTGGGTCAGACTCTGGCTCCAACCTGTAGGTCTGGATGGACAAGTCTTCTGATGTTGACATCTTTTAATTAATTTGTAAATGAAACGTTTCTGCGCCGCTACATAGTCCTAAACACCTCTGTTGAACTAGAATGAACCGCTCTGGAAGCTGGAGGTGGGCAGGGTGTGAAGCGCATCGTTTGGATTTAAAGAGACAGCCTCAAAACGAGTTGATCTGAGACACATCTCAGAAAAGAGGTGAAAGAGGAGCTTGTGGAGTTATAATAAGGAGGAATTCAGAGCAAAGCATTGCAGTTCCACTTTATGTAGACCCCAACTGAATGATTTAAACGTGAAAAAGAAGGATTTAACAGCAGGATATGTTTGCTATGAATAAAAGCAAAATAATGTAGAGTACATTTTTAATTAAACTTAATGTTGTGAAACTGGTATTTTTGCTCCAAATCATCAGTCAGAATGTCCTGGTGACCCATGTGTACTTGAAGCTCACATCAGATGTTAGTTTGTGTCAGGGCGCCCCYCAGGTTCTCTTGACTTCCACCATGTGTGACAGAGTGAACCTGCTGAGTTTAACCAATCATTCGTTCACATTTGTTTCAGGGAAAGACCAAGTCAAAGTCAAAGTCTAAAGTAAGCAAAGTGCTCAGTGCATGAAGGCCTGATTTGAGCTGAGTTGGCACAGCATTACTCTTTTCTTGGATCAGTGTGCATGGCTGAGCTGGAAAACCAAAACCAGGAACTATTTAAAAACAAAGCAAGAGTTTTCACTGCCTGCACTCACTCRTTCATCACACTCCTCCTCCTGCGAGCACAGCCTGGATCTTTGTTGCATGCATGGCTTTTCACCGTTTTTCTTCTTCTAGTTTCTAATTGTTCTAAAACTTTGCAGACACAGAAGACCTCTGCAGCGGATGACGTCCACTCGGCTCAGCCCAGCAAAGATGTCGTTCCATCCTCCACAGCGAAGGGAGGCAAGAGCTAGTTGRCTCGGTGAGGTTTGAGCTCCTTTCTTTGTRCAAAAATGTAAGCCGATCCCATTCTGACTGACTCAGACTGACGACTGCTTCCTGTGGTGCAGGCTGTGGGTGTCGTTCCTCCTCCAGACCACAGGGATGCATCAGTGAGGGAGCTGCTGCTTTTGGATTCTAGTGTTCAAAACTCGTCAAGAATGTAAACTGAACGACCGACAGACTTGGATATAACCTCCTCAATTCACACTTATAAAAATGTCTTCAAGCACTGCTTTTTCTTCTTCTTCTCTTGCTTTTATGTTCAAGGATGGGAAAATTTAGGTTTATATATACAGTATATATATATATTGTCTTTGGAGAGAACACAGACTTTTCACAACAGGACGAGCAAAGAGACAAAAACACAA